ATGTTGCCAGGCAACAGATATAGTCGACTTCAATATTCTGGAAGAGCAGGAAGGAATGTCTCCAGTTCTTCAGGAAATCTTATCACTCCACAAAACATTGGACAACTTTGTCTTTCTGACTGTATGAGGAGCGTTCAGAGTGTAAGATCTGCCCCAGTGGTTGGAAGGAGCCGTAACTTTACTGACTTCTCTAGAGTCAGATTTACAATAGTATGAACTGAGAAGAGCATCAACATCATCACCTGGTCATGATTCATATCCATCAACATTCCTCTTTCAGTGACACTGACACCAACACCAACACATTCACAGGAACACATTTGTTCTACAAAGAACGATTCTTTATACAAATGGACAGAACACCTTCCTGTGTCTAAGAAATTCATATTTACTGTAAACAAATTCAAGTCTAGAGATGAGAGCAGCACAAAATTAAATTTAAATTTAATTAATTTGGACCTTCAGGAAAAATACAGTTCTTTTTTAAACTTTAAATTCTGCTGCTTTAATCGAAAGTTGTCCATCAAAATGAGAAGAAATAAAATATTTAAGGCCAAAACTTATCAAATATTGTTTTCTACTTACTCCCATCTTATTTTTAAAAACCATAGTCAGCCTTACCTTTACTTCTAGCTGAAGTCCGTGGTTGTGTCTCTCGGTTTCCCCTCACCTTAACATCGTCGAGGCTAATGTTTAGTCTCCGTTGTTCATCCGATGACAAATCGATCCTTGAATTTCCAGAAGTTTCTAAATAAGTCTTTGAATGTTCGTGGCTGATCATCCATGTCTGCGGAGGCTTCTTTCTGACCGGACAGACACACAGACAGTCTCTTCGTTTGTACCTCTACATTTAAAAAGAACGACTCTTCTGTCCCGGAGTTTGAAGCTAACCTTTTAGCTCCGGCGTCCAGACGTTATCACACGACGACAATAAAAGACAAGGACAGCAGTAATGGCGGTTTCTGCCCGGACAGACACACAGACAGTCTCTTCGTTTGTACCTCTCCATTTAAAAAAGAACGACTCTTCTGTCCCGGAGTTTGAAGCTAACCTGTTAGCTCCGGCGTTAGCTTCACTTATCAACTTCCGTTTGGACCGGAAGTCCAGTTTGGAGAAACGTTTCCGTCTTAAAAACGGCATAAAAACCGCTGTTCTTCACCGACTACTGCCTCTAGTTTGGCGCCGACTTTCAGTTCACGTACGACCCCTTGAGGTGAGACAGAGTACTGTTTGCCTCCCCGGTGACTTTTCTCTGTACTTTATCGGCTGCGTCATGTGACCTAGTTTGATTGGATCGTCACTCAGATGAGTCACAGCTCTCCGCTGCTTCACCCGGGATTTCTGTTCTGTATTTGATCGCGAAATACTCGAATACAGCGATTTTTACTTAATGAAATGTCAAAAATGTGTAGAGTCATAATGAAAATGCATCTTTAACACAGAGCGGTGGAAAATATTAATATTTATTTTATGTGTTCGTTTTTTTATCACGTATATACTGTATATGTGTGTAAACATGTAAATACATACATATGTATGTATTTATATATACTGTATATATGTGTGTATAAACATATAGGTACATATATACTGTATATTTGTGTGTGTAAACATGTATATATGTATGTATATACGCACATACATATAAAAATAAAAGCAAAAAGAACGTTATGACGTTATGATTATGAACTCCACAGGAACAATGTATTTAAAATGATTGGACATCATCAGTTTCTTTCTCCCCCTACTGGTGGAATGTGGAATTGAAACAAGATGGCCGCTGCCATGTGTCCCTGCACCTGTTGCTCTTCTTTTCCATTCAGTCAAAATCCAAGGAATCCTGTTCCGAGGTGAAACTGTTTGTGGCCTGTTTATAAAAGAAGAATTCAACAACGTTTTTATTTCCTTTTGTTTTGGACATTAATTCTATTTCATGGTGGATTCTGACTCTCAGGCCTCAACCAAACACCAACACCAACAACACTGAAGGTCATGTGACCAAGGCTCATCTACAAGCATGGTTAGATGTGTAAAAGAACGACAACACACACCTGAACATGAGCAGCAGGAAAAGTGCTCCTGGGGTCACAGGTTAAAATAACATTTATTTATCAACTCCACTAATAATCACATTAAACGTCATCAGCCTTCAGACGTGGATACTCCACACTGACCCCTGAAGGCCTGGTGGAACAGAACGATATCATTATTAAACTGAAAACGTTTTTAGTGAAAAATAAATGGTTGTCATTTATACCTGTGTCGCTAGAGGGCGGTGTTGACCTTGTTTATTTTCACCAACCATACAAAGCTTGGATCAAAGACACTGTTAATATTTTTATTAATAACGTTAACTGAGCTACAAAAATATAATATACATATAATAAATATAATATAATAATTTAATGTTTTATTTTATTTATGTTTGGTTGTTTGGTCGTTCTGGTTTGGACTGTTTTTTTTTTTAGGTTTGTAAAGTTAGTTAAATTCAAACCCAACTCTGTCTTCTTCGGTGGTGTTAGGGTTAGGGTTGAAAATGAAGAAAAGAGAAATTGTCACATCAGTGAGACGACAGTGAGACGACAGCACTCTGTTTGTCTGACTCAAAATTTTATTTCCAGGATGTGTTTTTTTTAACAAGTCAAAAGGCTGAGGTGCATAGTCATGAAGGGAGCATGAACAAAATGGAACCAGACATTTGGACAACACTGGAGTGTATGTGTGTGTGTGTGTGTGTTTGTCTGTAAACAGCTGAATGTTTCTATTTAGTGTGTAGTAAGTTAGCTAGTTTAAGGTACTGTGTGGTAATATTTATAATATTCGACAGATTTGTGTAGAAAATCGACTGTGGTGAGAAACGCGGTCTGTTTCCGCCTGTTCACTTCCCTACAACCATCGGAGGTTTAATTGACGGCAGTGTTTGGTTCAGAGTTTGGCCACATTGTCGTCGTCGTCGTTGTTGTTGTTGTTGTTGTTAGCTACCTTGCTGTGCATCTGTTGATAACACTTTACAAACATGTTTGCTGTGGGGTTTTTTTTTCTTCTTCATATCAGTGGTTTTATCCTTGAAATTCTGCGGAATGTGGGAAGCAAGGACTTGGCGTCCGACTCTGTTGACTCTGTTGGCAGTGTGAGTTAAACCTACAGGAAGTTACAGGAACTTACAGGAAGTAATATCAAATAGGCTTCAGTAGCCTGTGAAGTACTGCAGTACTGCAGTTCTCCACAGGTGGCTGTAGTGTTGGTGTGAACGTTGTGGTAACGACGGCAGACATGAGACTCTTGGACTGGCAGTATGAGTTTCATCTGCTCTGGCAGTAAGAACACGACTAAGTAAGGAACCAACATGGTCCACAGAACTCCCAGCATTCTCTCTGTTTGTTTCTTTGCTGTAAATTTACCAAAACACTTGTTTTTCATCGTATACGTCTCTTATGGCAGGGGTCTCAAGCTGAGGGTCACTGCTGCCGCCGTCATCTCACTGGACGGCGACTAAAACAAGTATTTTGTCTGATTTAAATACTGTAGAATTCTGCAGTGTTTTTAATAAAAAATATATGTTTAAAATGACCTCCGAGCCAAAGCTGAAATGATTGACATGTCGTCACAGGCCAGATGTGGGGGTTTGTGGACCACAAGCAGCTCCTGAGCCGGAGTTTGAGACCCCTGTCTATTCTATAGGCCGTTTAATTTTCTTGTACATTTTCTAGTTGCCGTTGTAATAACTGCTGCAATACTTCACCGCCACTGCTGGAAATGAATCGATGCCACCGGCCTGACAGTAAGAGATGACGTGTGAAGCTTTTGCCACTAGGTGGCAACCGTGTTATAATGTAATATAAGCACTGCAGAGCAGCGACTGCTTAGACGGTGAAGGTTAACGGACGTCGACCCGTGTGTGACCGGCATGTCACATGTTTCACTGCGTGAAGTTGTGTTGTTGAAAAGTACTGCGGTTTTATACGGAGTACTGACTCGGCTCTCGGACAAGCAGGAGCTGAACGACATGACGTCAGACGTCCTGAACTTGTCTTCACTAAAGTCCAACACAGATGCGTCTTCCTCGTGTGTTTGTGACTTTTGGGCTTGTAATTCCTTCACAATGACAGCAGGGCGGCAGAATGAGGAGAACCTACTTTTAGCGGTGGTTTTGGGTCAGTGGTAACAAATGTCCACATTCTATGAATGGAGGGGAAATGACAGGAGTGTGTGACGGAAAGGTTAGGGTTAGCTGGAGGGTTAGCCACGCTGCTAATTCCATACCACTGTTTTGTACAGGAAGACTTGGATTTGCGCGCGTTACTTTGTGTATTCCTGGTATAGGAGTACTGCAGTACATGTGAGGAGACAAAATACTTCAGCGGTGGGGGTCCAACCACCTGAAGGAGGTTGGACTGTAGAGGTTTTTAAAGTTTGGACTTCAGTCAGATCAGATTCTAACATGGGATTAAGGAATTAGGAAGTGCTCACAATACACAAAAACCTGTGTGTGTGTGTCTGTGTGTGTGTGTGTGTGTGTGAGAGAGAGACGGTGCATCCAACATCAGGTTTTACAACACAACAGAGAAACCATGTCACCTCCAGTACTGCACATGTACAGCGTTACTACAGTACTAACAACAACAGTCACTCCTTCAGTTCCACCGACATCAGTTCTAATCCCGTGAAACTCAGCAAAAATTCCAGTGGAACTAATTCGTCCGAACAAATCGTTTTCTCCTTCACTGCCCTGCAGTTGTTGTTTTGATTGAAGGTGTGTTTTTACCCAAGATGCATTTCACTTCATTCTCATTAATGACCTTTTGTTTTGTCTGTACTTGTTTGTTTTGTTTTGGTTTTTTTTGGTCTAACAAATGAAGCAGGAACTTCTTGTTCAGTTCCACACGTTCTCACTGGAACTTTTGCCCAGAGTAAGGACTGATGTGACGCAGACTAACCAGACTGATGTCGGTCTGTGGACCGGGGTCCAGCTCAGACACGTTAGTACAGCGTAGCTACATTTGAACGGTGCCGTGGACAGACGAGGGTCGCAGTCCAGACACGTCCATAAAGTGCCTTGGTACAGTTTATTGCATAATCTGAAAACTGTCTTATTGCTGCCATTGAAAGCCAGTGGACAAATGCAGTGAACGGAGGAGACGGACTAGAAAAATAGCCTCACGTCATCTTCAGGTGGAAATCGGTTCCCAGGGGACGACACGGTGTCGGCTTGATGCTAGAACTGTTTGGACACTAAGGTGTCGTCAGAAGTCCAGGTGAACACCACCAACAGAATGTGAACAGAACAGTTGGACGCAGTGACGACCACTGCGACACTGGTAAAGTGCTGAGTCATCATACGAAAGGCCAGTGGACTGCACTCTGCCACCATATCAGTATGTGTGTGTGTGTGTGTGTTAGAAACCGCCGGACAAAATCATCCATCGTCCCCCATGTTGACCCTATGTTGACCCCATGTTGACCCCATGTTGACCAGCGGTTATAGACACAGTGTGTGTGTGTGTGTGTGTTTTTTCCCTGTAAAACTAACGACTCCCATCAAATCCTCAAACCCTCGCTCAGTTCTAAAGAAAACCCAAAGCCGTGGCCTAGGGTTCAGCCGCAGTATGAATACATAAATATATACATATACATGTTATATATATATATATATATATATGTCTGTACACCTCTACTCTACTCTTCTGCTGTTCTTACATTGTGTGTCGCTCACTTTGATGTTGATGTAAAGGGTTAAATGGGACCACACGGAGATCGGCAGAACGTTCCTGTACTGTGGTTCTATAGACAACAAATAGTTTATAGGATGGGATATAAAATGCGCACATGCTAAAATGCATTATTAGTTATTAGTTTGAAGCAGCATGATTGGGATCATTCCTCTTTTGTTTCTATATAGAGCGCAGGGAGTCGGGGATCGTCTCTGATGAGGGTTACTGTGGTTGTTATTTTTTAAATACATTTTCTCAGTTTTATCCTCCCACCAGCAGAGGGAGCAGAAGCAGAACAGGCACCTGTGTTTCATCTATAGCAAAAAGAAAAGAAAAAAAGGAAAACTAGAGTGCAGAGCTGGATCATTCAGTCACCTCAGAAAACCAGGGATTTTCCTCTGTTCACTGTGGACCAGAACCAGGACCAGTAGATGAACAACAACAACAACAACAACAACAATAATAATAATAATAATATTAGTAGTATTTTAGTATTATTGTTGTGGTTGTGTTTATTATTAATTTAATACAATAAGGTAATAATATTAATATCATCATTAGCTGTGAATTTTTTTAAATCAATAATAACTCAAATATATTTGTATGCTGGTCCTGCTGTAAGACTTGTTCTGATCTTATGTTCCTGATGTACCTGACACTAACCAGCCAATGGGCTGCCATCCAGGTGAGGGAGTGGTCCAGGCCTGTGCACATATTTAACCTCCTAAATAACAAGCATGATTCAAAAGAGACGCTGACGTATTCTAATACTTAGCAACTAGTAAGATAAAACTGCTAAACAGCGCCCTCTGTGAGCTGCAGCTTTGTCTCACATATTCAACTATATATATATACACAGGCGTACAGTCATACTTTACATTTCACTTATGCCTTTGGTGTCCCTTTGTTTTCAGCTTTGGCTCCTGAGAGTCCGTTTTCTGTGTTGTCGTTCCCTGAGGAGCTCACCAGGCACTCTTTACTGGAAGAGAAGAAGAAGAAGAAGAAGAAGAAGAAGAAGAAGAGAAGCTCAGGGTCGGACGCTCTGCTCCCAGACGCTGCCTTCATGTTACAGCAGCAGAGTGCAGCAGAATTATAAACACTGTCATCTGTAGTTTGTCTTTCTGTTCTGGCAAAAGTTTATCGTATTTCAACAAGAATGTTAATGATTCATCTGATCATCTGAAAATGTCTCAGTAAAAATCCATTATATTTGGTGTTCAAGTCAGAACGCAGTTCAACAGTATTTGTTTTGGTTTTTACTCTACTTTGGCAAAAACAAGTCAATGATAGGATGCTAGCTGCTTAGCCTAGCCTTATGTCAATAAATGATGGATGTTTTTGATGAAGTATTACAGTGTAAGTTAGAGTTAATTAGAGTGAAGTTAGCACCACCTGCGGGACAGAAATGGCAGCTTCTGCTCAGTTTTGATACCAATTCTACTGAGGACTGAACTCCTTTTTGTCCGTCAGTGGTCTACTCACGTCTTTTCGTCAGTTCCGCAGGAGGCGAACCCCCAAGGCCTTCACCACCATTATGATGATAACCAGGCCGATGACCCCCCCCAGCACTGACACGATGAGCACTGTCAGGGTGTTGTCAATCTCCCTCACTGTAAAGAGGAGAAGGTTGTGAAAAGCCGTACTTGTTTTCTGCGTACCAGGTGTGTACCAGGTGTGTACATTTGACACGTACTTTGGTCCACTACTATTAGAGTGAAGGTGGCGCTGTGGTTGCGGTTCTTCTCTTTGGGGTTTCTGGCAAAACAGGTATATTCTCCTTGATCTTCGAAGGTGATGTTCCACAGCAGGATGGAGATGTTGTTGGTCTTTGAGGAGCCCACGAACTCCACGCGCTCATGATACACTGTGGTCTTGGGTTCCACACCCTCCATGGGGATGTCTCCCCCACATAACTGCACAAAGGCACATGTGAATCAAGTGCTTCACACATTTAGTCGCGGTTGACGTTGATGTGACGCTTCATGTTTCCAACATCTGTATTTCACTATATATGAATATACGTAAACCTAATACACAAATGCAGCTACATTTAAAATCCATCGTCTGTGCTTTACATTTTAGCTTTAGCTTCGATTCAACCATCGGTTTATTGAAGGTGAACGACTCGGCCCCTCATCTCTTCTTCTTTTCTCTGGGTTTTCAACCATTTCTTTTGATACTGTTGAACTTTTTTTTGTTTAGCTGTTGTTTTCACAGATCAGTGATCAATTTAAAAAAACACTTTTTTGATAACCATTTACAATGTGACCCGGTGTGTTTCTGTGTGGTCGGTACCATGTTCATGGTTCCGTTGTCGTTGTATTGCCAGTTGAAGTGGAGGTTTTTGATGCCGATGCAGGAGGAGTAGGTGCAGGGCAGCAGGACTGTGGAGCCGTTCATGGCTTCCACTGAAGACACTTTTCCTGTGGAGACCTCCAGGCCCCCCACACTCCACACCCCTGAACATGGGAGAACACAAACTTTGTTCCAGTTTTGACATCATGTAAAGACAGATGTGAATCAGGGAGACGGTCACACCAGGTGTCAGTTTACCACTGACACCTGGTCCACAGCTGGTCCACTGACAGCTGGTCCACTGCCTAGATTGTTGCTGTGGTGTCTCTCACTGAGGACCTATTTATAAACACTGAGCGACTCGGGCTCCTGTTGCACTTGGTCACGGTGCTAACACCCTGTCGCCTCCTGTAGTTGGTCTTTGGTTTGTTTGAAGTTAAATAAATATGTGCAGAATATTAGGCCTACAGCACAGTGCCCCCCCCCCGCCCCCCCCCAGCTGTAAGACAAATGCACTATCCACTGAGCCACCCCTCCTACCAAAGTAAAGGTCGTGTCCACAAACAGAGAGAATGTGAACTGCTGATGACCCTGCTCCAGGACCCCAGCACTGACTCTGACCTCAGCACTGACCCCTACACTCACCCCAGCACTGACCCCTACCCTGACCCCAGCATTGACCCCTACCCTGGCCCCAGCATTGACCCCTACCCTGACACCAGCATTGACCCCAGCATTGACCCCC